GGCCCTGGGCCCACGGCGCTTGGGCAGCCCTGGCCCTGGCCCCGGGGCACATGCCGCCGCCCAGCGCATGAGTGGCCCCGCCCCCCGGGGTGCCCAGGAGCCTCTATAGGTTGGGGACCACTGGTCTAGATGTAGCCAAAGCATAAACACCTGCTGGTCTACTCAGTCATCATTCTATCCTGTTCTAAAAATCACTCTGCAAACTCACCTCTTCTACAATGCCTGCAATAGAGAAACTCATTTTTTTTTACTCTTTTAATACAGATATAAAACAATGGAACCACTACAACGTGCCTAGCGCAACTATACTTTTCTATTGCTGCAATGCCTGTTCCCCTCTGCTATTAATTTGACTCATTGTACATGAGTTTGTGTTGTCTGTAACATGCTTGTACACTTCAAGCATGTTCTGAATAAATAAGCAGTGATCTGAATTTACCTACCTTAGAGGTTTCTGGTTCCACCTGGTGTCTCTTGGGTGTCTCTTTAGGTTCGAGCACCTTCTGAGGAATATCACTCTTCAGCGAGGGCAACTCAACACTTTCACCTTCAAATGATAGGTTAATATCTTCTGTGTGGACAGGACGATCAATGCCATTGGGATTCAGATTGCAATGGATAGCTGGGGAAAATGTGACACATACGGCTTAGAGGAAAAGACTGCATTAGAAGGAATTAAAAAAAAAATCTAGTATAGGAAACATTTACATTGATCATGAAGTACAGATCATCACACAGGTATCTGGGGCTACTTCTGATCACATCAAAGATATTGTAGCTTGATACGGATATGGTATTTATGGAGGACACAAAGAAAAAAAACAATTCTGCGTAATACTGTTCTATTCAGAATATTGTACCATATCGATTAAGGTTTCTGAGTATCTCTGTGGGTCCATATACCTTACCACATTGGTCTTAAAAATATATTGTTCAGTCATACTGAGCTGGGATGGAACAGAAAGCATTTTTGCTTTTTAAAAAGTAAAACTTTTGTGTTACTTGTTCCACTAAGTTTTCTGTTTAATACGGTATAGAAATTCCTCAAATGGTATGGACACATGCATGGAACATGCAGAGCAAAGCAGAAAGGCAAGTCCAGTGAATGACAACAATAGCTTACATAGCTAATTGTTTTCCCTTCAGCCTTACGCACCACTGAAAAGTAATGTTTTCCCCATATAAACAAATGAAAGGAACATAACACCTCTAGGATTAGAAAGGGGCAAGATTAGAAAGGCAAAGGCACAAAATGAGCTCAAACTAGCTATGGGAATAAAGGGAAACAAGAAGACTTTTTATAAATACATTAGAAGCAAGAGGAAGATCAAGGACAGGGTAGGCCCACTGGTCAGTGAGGAGGGAGAAACAGTAACAGGAAACTTGGAAATGGCAGAGATACTCAATGACTTCTTTGTTTCGGTCTTCACTAAGAAGTCTGATGGAATGCCTAACAGTGAATGCTAGTGGGAAGGGGGTAGGTTTAGAAGGTAAAATAAAAAAAGAACAAGTTAAAAATCACCTAGAAAAGTTAGATGCTTGCAAGTCACCAGGGCATGACGAAATGCATCCTAGAATACTCAAGGAGCTGATAAAGGAGGTATCTGAGCCTCTAGCTAGCATCTTTGGAAAATCATGGGAGACAGGAGAGATTCCAGAAGACTGTAAAAGGGCAAATATAGTGCTCATTTATAAAAAGGGAAATAAGAACAACCTAGGAAACCACAGACCAGTTAGTTTAACTCCTGTGCCAGTGAAGATAATGGAGCAAGTAATTAAGGAAATCATCTGTAAACACTTGGAAGGTGGCAAGGTGATAAGGAACAGCCAACATGGATTTGTAAACAACAAACCATGTCAAACAAATCTGAAAGCTTTCTTTGATAGGATAACGAGTCTTGTGGATAAGGGAGAAGTAGAGGATACCTAAACTTTAGTAAGGCATTTGATACAGTCTCACATGATATTCTTATCAATAAACTAGGTAAAATACAATTTAGATGGGGCTACTATAAGGTGGGTGCAAAACTGGCTGGATAACTGTACTAAGAGAGTAGTTATTAATGGTTCGCAATCTTGCCGGAAAGGCATAACAAGTGGGTTTCCACAGGGGTCTGTTTTGGGACCGGCTCTGTTCAATATCTTCATGAATAATTTAGATATTGCCATAGAAAGTACGCTTATTAAGTTTGCAGATGATACAAAGCTGGGAGGGGCTGCGACTGCTCTGGAGGATAGGGTCCTAATTTAAAAGCATCTGGACAAATTGGAGAAATGGTCTGAGGTAAACAGGATGAAGTTTAATAAAGACAAATGTAAAGTGCTCCACTTAGAAAGGAACAATCAGTTTCACACATACAGAATGGGAAGCGACTGTCTAGGAAGGAGTACGGCAGAAAAGGATCTAGGGGTCATAGTATACCACAAGCTAAATAGGAGTCAACAGTGTGATGCTGTTGCAAAAAAAAGCGCAAACATGATTCTGGTATGCATTAATAGGGTGTCGTGAGCAAGACACAAGTCACTCTTCCGCTCTACTCTGCGCTGGTTAGGCCTCAGTTGGAGTATTGTGTCCAGTTCTGGGCACCACATTTCAAGAAAGATGTGGAGAAATTGGAGAGGGTCCAGAGAAGAGCAACAAGAATGATTAAAGGTCTAGAGAACATGACCTATGAGAGAATGCTAAAAGAACTGGGTTTGTTTAGTTTAGAAAAGAGAAGACCGAGGGGGAACATGATAGCCGTTTTCAGGTATCTAAAAGGGTGTCATAAGGAGGAGGGAGAAAACTTGTTCATCTTGGCTTTTGAGGATAGAACAAGAAGCAATGGGCTTAAACTGCAGCAAGGGAGGTTTAGGTTGGACATTAGGAAAAAGTTCCTAACTGTCAGGGTAGTTAAACACTGGAATAAATTGCCCAGGGAGGTTGAGGAATTCCCATCTCTGGAGATATTTAAGAGTAGGGTAGATAAATGTCCATCAAGGATGGTCTAGACAGTATTTGGTCCTGCCATGGGGGCAGGGGACTGGACTCGACCTCTCAAGGCCCCTTCCAGTCCTAGTATTCTATGAACACATGCTCCAGTGTATAACACACACACACACACACACACACACACACACACACACACACACAGCAATTTACAATTGTGTAACTTTTTTTGTTCTGAAATTGCACACTCAGCATTTGTGAATTGACAATCTTTTATTCAAACAGATGAACTTTCAAAAAACCAGATCCTGAGGCTGCTTCCTGTTCTTGTAAACAAGTGCCCAGATTTTTACCTTTTGCTTTCTGAGTACAATACTTTTCTCACATTTATAATTAATGGCCCAATTTCCCTCTATTTGCAAAAGGGATTAGCATAGGCAATTTTGTTCAATATTCCTTCCTGGGGGAAGGAAATTGAGGAGCCACTTTAATTCTACATTGTTTTCTTTAATGTTTTTGCTTTGCTTAGAATCTGGTGGTTCTGCCTCCTGCACTTGCTCCAACCCACTGGTTTCATTTCTACCTGCTATTAGATCAGCCTTCATAAACTGACATTGACAACAAGGCTAAAGCAGCATGAGCTCAGAGTCTGTGAGCGTTCTTACTAGAAAGACCTTTCATTAAATCCCAGATGCCCTTTAAAAAAAAAAAATCTATACAGAGGAGATTCCAACGTTTTAGCACAGTAGAAAACTTCCATTAGGACAGCAATTCTGCCATGTAAAGTTGGCACACAACCTTAGAAGCCAAGAGAACTTGGTTTTTCCTCTGGAACTTCCATGGGCACTTCATGTAATGCAAGACAAAGCTATGCCATCTTCAAGTATGCCTCAGTTTCTTCCACTGGCACATTATTATTGAGTCACAGAGCTACAGTTAAGGGAAATTCATTAACAGTTTAATGTTACAAGACTGAAAGCACTACAGTAATGCAAAGTATCATTAAAAATCTCAACCATGTTCTCCTAAAGTAGAATATAGTCTTTCCTTTGTAAAGGGATAAAGGAAAGAAATCTGTTGTGCTTAATTGGAGCTATCGGGATTAAATTATTTCTTGAAAAATAAAAATAGGAAATCACACACAGTAATGGTAATAAGCAGCAGGAGTGATACCTTAAGGTCCCATGAGAATTATTTTCCATTGTGCTAGACATTCTACAAGTTTACAGAAAGGCACAGTCTCCGTCCTGAGGAGCTTACATGCTAATCAAAGACAAGATGCAACAAAGCCTTAAAATTGATATAGCAGCCTGCCTGCTAGCCTGTGTGGAATCTAGCCTCCCATCTCTCCCAGAGAGAGGGGGCAGCTGGACTCAAGGTGCTTTACTTCCTTGTCAGCTTCATGGCTTCTGTCATTAAATTGGCAAGACAGCCAACAGCTGATGTAAGACAGTGTCTGCACAGACACTGTGTTGCCCTAACTACACCAACTTAAGTCCTACACTTCTGGTGTAGGTGGAGTTATACTGACATTGTATTTGGGCTCCTATATTGGTGGCAGGGACGGGGCCTCAGGGATGTTGCGTTTTTTGTGCTTAGTACATTGGCAAACCTGGCTTTTCTCTAAAGCCAGGTTTGCCAATGTACTAAGCACAAAAAACGCAACATCCCTGACCCCCCTCCAAGGCTCGTTCCATCCCCCTTCCTTTCGTCACTCACCCTACTCCTCTGCCTTTCACCTGAATATGGAGAAGGTTAGGCTGATGGGGGGAGGAGGTCTCTGGCTGGGGGTATGGGTTAGAGCTGGGGATTAGGTGCTTGGGGTGCAAGCAGGGACTCCGAGCTGGGACAGGATGTTGGGGCGAGGAGAAGTGGGGAAAGCTCTAGACTGGGCTTTGGGCAGGTCCATAAATCAGGGTTCAGGATGCAAAGGGGTTCCAAGCTCAGGCAGAGGGTTGGAGTGTGGGAGGCACTCCAAGTGAGTGTGTGGGCTCTGGGTTGGCCAGGGATGAGGGGTTTGCAATTTAGTAGGGAGTTCAGGACTGGGACAGGGCGTTGGGGTGGGCAGGCAAGTTCCACGAGGGAGTTTGGGTGTGGGAGGAGACTCCAAGCTGGGGCAGAAGGTTCGGGTGCGGGATCCTGGAAGCACTTATTGCAGCTCTCAGAAAATAGCCACTTGCAGCACTAGGTATAGAGAGTCTCCACACACTGCCTTCCACCCACAGGCATCACCCCCTGAAGCTCCCATTGGTCTCAGTTCCTGGCCAATGGGAAGTTGCGGAGCCAGCATGCAGGATGAGGCAGCACACGGCGTTTCCTGGCACTTCTGGTAGCCATGTGGAGCGAGCGCCACCAACCAGACTTTTTTATCAGGTGTTCTGATAAAAAAAACAGATGTCTGGAAACCTTAAGGAAGGCTGTAGTGCAGACATGGATACAAATTAGGTTGACAGAAGCTGCCTTACGTCAAGCTAACTGTGTAGTGTAAATCAATGTAAAAACTGACATGAGAAAGGATGAATATGCCGGTGTCTGTATGAACAAGTGGCTACCATGATTAGCCACCTGAAAAACTTAAAGGTTCAGAGTTGTTTTGTCTCCGTGCAGACTTGAAATTTGGCCTCGTGTGCGAGATGTGCCTTTTGCCATTCCTGATAAAAGCTTCCCAAATTGTGAGCCGGAGTGTGAGTGTC